CAGCGAGCCTGACAACCCGATCCCGTTAGTCACCTCTTACGTTAAGCATAGTCGCCTTTTACAGCAAGAATGGGTTGCTGAAGACCTATTCCACCCCAGATCTTCCCTGGTATGCAAACAGACTTCATTTCACTCTGAACAAATACTGGTCACGTGTATGAGCATGTGCTCTTGGAAAGTATGTACGCTATTGTAATTGAGTTTTTAGACGGTCAATGATGACATGAAATTTTGTTTTAAAATACATTGTTTTATATTCAATCCTGGGTATGTTTGATAGCGACGAGTGACAGTGTTGGTAATAAAGCACCAGCTGAATGACATCACTGACAGACTGTTGCAAACTGCTGATTCAGTGACGTTTTATGACTATGTATAATGAATACATCAGATTGTGGCAATATAAATATTAACAGTTTCATTAATGTAACTGCAAATGATTATTAATAATAGTAGTATAGGTAATGGGGGTTCTGGCTCACTCATGATGATTGTTAAATCGCATCATCATTTTGACATAAAAATTTCCTTCTGTATTGGTGGTATAGGTATATGAATCTGGCTCTAGTGGAAGTGAGCCAGAACCCCCATCATCTATTCTACTATAATACTAAACCAGGATAGCAAATACCTGTTTGCACAGTTTTGACACGGTAAGGAATTCTTATCAAACCACAACCTGTTACTTGAGTAATCATGACAGGCCTAGAAATTAATAAGGTATTTTTAGCATAGAGAAAAAATTGGAACCATCTCCAAACAGATTCCACAAACATAGCAAGTCAGTCAATGCTGTTTCACACAGCTGTCTGCAATATTCCAGCAATATAATGGCGGCCTGAACATTCCAATTCTGGACCTGACAAACTGACGATCCACGGCATGAGCAACGATCCATGCTGTCAGAGTAAAATGACACACAATCAGTGAGGTCACACATTGTGGCCAACCAATCCTCAGATGTCAACTTCACGAAGAACACGGGGTACTGGGGACGTACTGTGCAAAGGGATTCCCACAGGGATAGGGCTTCAACGAGTACTCGAGTACTCGAGTACTCGGGGCCGGGTCGGTTTTAGTGGGACTCGAGTCCGTTATCAAGGACTCGAGTACTCGTCACATAAAATAGACGTAATTATTGTTTTTCCTTCCCGACTTTAACAAATTGAATGTATCAAGGCGATTATTGCTTCTTTGCTCCGACTCAAATGCAAAGTGTATTCCCTTACACAGATTAACAAATGATTAGCTGGTATATATGTGCTATTTCAGTGCTTACAAATCAAGCGACAGGTCGACAATTTGGTACAGTTTGAAAACGTGACCAACTCATGAATGAATGAACTTATAGTACATTGCCATATTTCCTTAGTCTTGCAGCCCAGCAGCTGTGTATACGTGTATGTCACGTGATGCACATTATTGATTTTCTTCCTGCGAATTATTGTTCGTGCTTGTTGGCAGGTGTCGAATGAAACGCTGATCGTCAGAAAAAAACTTGGTTTGTGTTCAATATGTATTGTAGTATTTGTCAGAGACCATATACCAATATGGTCTCTGTATTTGTAGACATGACGTAATGTTTTTGAAGGTCGTGATTAAGATGAGTGCAGTTACAAGCAAACATTAACACTGATCACTTCCATACACTTTGACAGATAAACAAGTTCCGTGGACGCTTTCCATTTACATTTCAGTGCAGTTCAATTATACTTATAACATGTTTTAATACATTTAGATGGCAATTTTGATCTAATGAACCAATATTCTTAAGGACGTCCTATTTTCGGGTACTCGAGTACGAGTCGAGTTTCACTCCTCGGGTACTCGAGTCCAAAAATTTGGACTCGTGGAAGCCCTACACAGGGATTATTAACATAAAACGTTAATGTCAGAAAATTATGAAATCTTTGAATGGAAGTTAGAGAGAATAAACAGTCTCGATTATCTGCCAAACAGATTCCATTGGGCGTAAAAGGCAAAATAGCAGTGAATATTATATGAATGGATCACTGAAACAAACTGATTATAACCATTCAATACTCAATTCTCTGTAGTCAACTTTTTGATGAACAAGATTTATGTGGGACCTATTCCGTAACGGGATTGCCACAAGGATTACATCTAACTGATCATGACCACTCAAAACTCAAAACTCAATCGTCAACCATCAATCATCAACTCTTCAAGACAAGCATGGTATAATCAGTAATGTGCATCTTGCTATTCTGATTTATAATATCCAAGGAAGGTGATTACATGCATTGAATAACACAACTGTAATGCTGAAACATATTCTAATTCAATCAAAAGTTAGCATATTTTGTTGACAAACCCTGTGAATAATCTTAACCTTCCACATGAGTGAAATGTGGCAGACATTGATGAAGTTATCTGTAATTAAGTGAACAGTTATGAATATTGTTGCGAATTGTGGTCAGGACAATATGACCTGTGCTAGGACAACATGATCAGCAAAATGTGCATCTAAATTAGTAACTCTCAAGATATCTTGCCTTTCACTAGCCTTTCTGTATTAGTAACACTTGATGAATGAGTGGACAGCTTTATGGTAGAACCTTAATCAGAGTTGATTCTGTTTGTTTGTTTGTTGTTTAACGCCAAACTCAGCAATATTCCACCTATATGACAGCGGTCTGGAAATAATCAAGTCTGGACCAGACAATCCAGTGATTGACATCATGAGCATCGATCCATGCAATTGGGATATGATGACATGCATCAACCAAGTCAGCGAGCCTGACCAACCGATCCCGCATTCATTTATGTCATATTAGTGCTCTGACATGTGATAACTACGTCACAATATTTTAGTTAAATCTAGTTAGATCTAAATGCCAAGAACATTTTCTCAGACACCTACCTCATGCATTTTAAACAAAATTATCAATTCATAATCCAAGAAATATTTTCATTAGCTATACATGAGATCTTTGACAAACAATTGAGGAACAAAGAAAGAAAGTGTCCTTCACAAACAATTAATTAATTTACACCCTTTGCATTTTCATGTGATTTAGTTTACAGGTCATTTTCACACAATCTAATCCAAGAAATCCCATGTGTCATAAATCAATTATTTCTTTAGTCATTTGATCAAGTCATCTTTTATTAAGTCATAGATGTATTAAGTCAATACATCAAAAGGTATTGGCACAACTGAAATCATCAGCTCCTTTGACCATTTTATTAAATTCCTTTTCAACAAATGTGGCAAAAACATTAGCACTATTAGGTTTGTCTGTTCCACTGAGGATCAAGGCATGAAAAGATGTCTTTAGATTGCACTACAGTATTTATTAAACTTGCTGGTTCAGCATTAAGTGCAAAAGATTAAGATTAAAGCATTGAGGATATGAAGCCTTATTTCCTCATACTTGGGTGCACACACCACACAAGGAACTAACCAGATGGGTGCAACGAACAGTCTGGTGTCAACTTTGAGGGTCTAGCTCGCCAAATGATAAACATGTTGATTGATAAAGGGTCAGCAGTGTGATGGCAAGTAAGGTATCACTCACAGCATTTTGATTCAAGTCACTTGGACACAACTTTGTCTACAAGCTCAAATATCATGATATAGACCTAGCAGTCAATGATTACACAGAGACAATGTAAAACTACCACACTGCATTAATACAATATCTAGGCTTTGCCTGGACATGGGCACAAATCAGTCCTTCTTCAAAATTACATAACACAAAGCAACATAGGTGAGTGAGTGAGTGAGTGAGTTTAACAGTATTACAGTTATATCACGGCATGTCAGCATAATGTGGGAGGAAAGCCCCAAGTGATGCAGGTCTCAGACGTTTACACTTCAGTGAAACTCTACTGTCCCCTATAAATTAAACCAAACTAAAAGTTGTTCACCCTATTTCAACTATAAGGGTCAGCAGAAGCAAACACCAAGAAATAAAAATACTTGGCCTGCATGAACCTGCTATAGGTACACTATGCAGATATGAACACACAAATGGCAGAGGGGATGGTGTATGTGGAAGGAAAGCTTTTCACTATTCCAGGATTCAAACAGTGACCTACATCAAGTGTACAACAATTGCAACACTTACCTGTATGTACAGGTTGGCAAGGATGTTCAGTTCATATTGCAGGGGTATTTACTTACGGATATAACCCCAACAGATACCTGTGTTAACATTTACCAGGTAGGTAATGTTAAGGTAAATCACAAACACTTGCCTACTTCATAACTTGGCCTGCCTCTCTTAATGGAACAAATAAATATGTGAGAAATGACTAGTATTTGGTCTCTGCAGTGAGTACACCAGTTTACAGTCCTAGCACTTTCACCTGTATACATGTCAGATCTGGTCACATAATCATGTTACTATATACTTTCAGCAGTTAGGTCAAAGGTTTCACTCAATACTTTCGTCTCACACGTGAAAATTCAGGATGGAAAATTTTGAACAATATCCTGGTTGCCAGTTGTAAGGTGATAATTAGCTGACAAATATTTGTCAGTAGACAGAATTATTTCACAAAGGGGAACCTGGAGAGAGAATTATTTCACCTTGTTGATACAAACTGAAGTGTAATGTGAGGAAGGCTGTTTCATGTCAGCCAATATTTATTTCTCCTGTTTACACACAATGAGCAAAGCATGAATGTAAGGACCACATTTTCATTGTTTTTCCTCTCAATAATTCAATTACAAAATAAAGAATATTCTTGTGAGAAAGTTTAACAACTTACATTCAGACAGACATTAAATACCACCAAAAAAACAATAATTTAACTCTAAACTAATCTGAGGAAATAGGTAATTTAATTAAATTTTGCTCTTACAAACCATAAACATGCCTGTCTACAGAGACCAACTACTATCGACTAATCAATAGGAGTGAATCAGTCGTATCGCATACACAAGAAAATGGAAACAGCTGACACAGAGCCGTAACACACACTATATGACCCATATACACCGGTCATGATCATCACTCGACATTACTTACGTCTTCACAAGAAATGATGATCTGTGGAATCTGGAGACTCATAACACATTATTAACGTGGGGAACAATCTCAATAAACTATCGTCCCTCCTCCCGGTGTAACAAGCTTGGCCAGCGTCCCAGCTCGACAACATTCACTCCCACAAGAGGCTACTCCATCAAGCGACACGAGTTCACAGGTATTTAGGTGTGTAGGCCGACCTATGTCCTCCACTACTGCTCAGTCACTGAATCTAGCCCAGGTGGAACAAGATCCGTTAGGATTTCACAGGCCCTCATGTTGACAAACTGTCATTCTAAATACGCTTTCATTGTCGAATTTTCTTTTCATAAATTTCAAACACAGGATATTGACACGTTTGTAAAATTAACAATGTCGATCACTTGTAAAGTATGACATTTGGAACAAACTTCACATATTTGTGCACAAAAGGGAAGAGCCTGCTCTGACGCTCATGCACGATACACACTGGCCATGGAGTATTCTGTAGGGCCTTTGAAATTTATGTTCCTGCTGAACATATGTGACATGATATCAATAGTGGCGGATTACCCAACCCAAAGGAGACATCATGCTGTCCCTGCATTCAAGTTTTTAACGTTTTTTAAGAAAGACATTTCCTTCTCCTAGCGTGACACAAGGTGACTGGTCCCTATTCTCATTCAAAATACTCATCTCGATGAACAGGGCATATCTGTTGAAACTCTTACTAGCAAATGTCAAGAAATCAAAGATTATTTTCACAATAGATTCAACTATATATTTCACTTTTCCAGCAAAAGACACACGCAATAAAAGCAAGAAACCACAGGATATTTCAACATACTATCACATTCCTGCAGTGTCACCAGCTGAGAGCTGTATCTAAACAGCATGAACTTTAGCTAACAAATAAAAAAGGTTTGAAATATATTCGCCTAAAATCAAATCAGAATATATTACATATGGTCTGATGGCATGCCAGATAAGAGTACAGCTTATTACATGCAAAAGACAGAAAAATCAATAAATTTATCAGCCTATCATTAATTAAGTTAACTGTTTTCAGCAACTTAAAAAACAATTTTTTTCAGATATCCTGTCAAATTGTGAATTTCTGAAGGTCCTCAATCAGTGTAATTTCTCAACACTGAAGTTATGCTGACATTATCCATCACTGTATGATTGTCCACAAAGGAGATCTTTTCAATAATCCTACATCACGGAACAATTTTTTAGTTTGAGAATAATGTCTGAACATATCCTTGAGTAGAGAATGATGCTCAATAAAGTTGAAAATTCCAGTGGTATTTCAAATGAAAGAAGAACAAGAACTGGACGTATCCTCACTATTTGAGAAGGCTTTTCAAAAGGACAGAATTTTTTCTTAATGGAGAAATTGCAATCACATGTGGCAGGTCACATGGGCCCACCACTTCTCCCTCGTCCCGTCTGAGCAAACATGTGTACCGTCAGTTCACTGTTCATTGATAGATATGTCAACAAGGTGTGACATCACCAAGTTCAAGGAGACAGCCCACAACTTGAGTCTATTCCAAAACACCACACTCCAATCTGAATTTCAAAATTTGAAAAACAAATGGAACACATTTCCACGTCCACAAATACCATAAATCTATTCATAAACTCCACACTCTGATCTGAACTTCCAAATTGAAAAATTTACCAAACACATTTCAACATGTTCCATGTCCAATTAAGAAATTTGAAAAATGCACAGTCCACATTTCCACGACCACAAACAATTTCAATCAGGCCAAATCAGGTCCACATACCTAAACTGGTACACAATCACCCTCCATTGAAATAGGGGCATTCAATCAATGTTTATACAACGATTGGGACCGATTATATTGCTGCTGTCTCAGTGAACCATTGGTCATGAACATGTAACGTTATCATTTCAAAAAGTGATAAAGTGTTATATTGTTGTCAATTAACACTGGATTCCATGCCACCTGTCCTCCTTTTGACTGCATTAATAAGTTCATCCATTGTGGTCTAGGGCTAATCAAAGAGGTCATACCCACGAAATCTCTGAGAAACGTTCGCACTTGACTTAAGCATTTAATAATGTACACTGTTACCGTATCTGAGTGTATTGATTCTGTTATTAATGCTCATCTTTTGGGCCTCTGAACATCTTAGAACAGGCTCATAAAAACCTATTAATAATCTCCGAGTCTGTTAGCAGTAGTGATTGCTGTAATCAATTATGCTGAGAACATGCCTGGCCCATCTATCCGAGTTTCCACTCGTGTATTAAGGCCAATGATCAATTAACGAATTAACACGTTTCATCTGTGTGAAGACTTTATGAAACAGCGGAGGTGATAATACATTGATTAACTTTCATGTGGGGAGAAATAGTTTAAAGGGACTCTTTTCTTTGAAAACAAGGCTTAAAATTCTAAATAGCCAATTAGCCAAATAAATGCACGCAGACACACTTAAGTTGACTTTCCTTACTTATCTCAAAATATTACCAGGTTAGCCTGATTAAGGTCAACCTGAGTGACTGTTCATGTAGAGATTGATTTGAACACCTACTGGTCCAGTAACTTATAACCTCCAGGGGGTTATCTAGACCTGTTCAAAGGCCGGTATTTGGCTCCAAGCCTGCAGCAAATGTCAGTAAAAATTCTCAAATTGGAACTAAAACATTTCCAATTCATGTTTATACAGTTATATCTAATGTGAAGGCTTGTTGTGGTCAACATGTATTTCACTGATATCACAAAACAGGACCAAAACCTATGAAATAAGAGTGAGGGAGTTTGGTTTAATGCCACTTTGAACAGTATCCCAGTTATATCACAGCATGTAAGCTTAATGTAGAAAGAAAGCCCGAAGTGATGCAGGTCTTACACGTTTACCGCTATGGTGAAGCCATCAAGCACTGGTATGGTGCTGACAAACCTAGAAACATAATCATGGCGAACCGAGATTCAAACCCACAACATTTCTGGCATGCCCATGTGACGCAACTCTGTACAGCAAATTGCACCCCCCCTGCCCCTTGAAACAAGAAACAGAAGGCAGTAGGTTGCAAGGACAATTAGGAAGGCAACATATATTCCACGGCTAATGAAACTGTACAGGCAAGCAGACCACAATACCATCTCAGCAGATATGGCAAACCTTTTAAAATTTACAATTCATCATTTAATCATAGATAAGCCTGACAAAAAGTCAACCAGGCATGAATAACCATGATATAAAAGTTAACAAAAAAGATTTATATTTAAATCTATTCTCAAAATAGACACAATTTATGGTTAAGAACTTCTTTAATTACTGTTTAATAAGTTGTTATCCATAAATTGTGTCTACTTTGTCAACTTCTGAGTAATGCCTATCAAATCAATTCTCTTTTTTTTTCTGTCAATAATAAATTTATTTATATTTGTCCCTTTTGGGTTTTGGAAAATATCGAAATTGAAACAATTTGTTTTCTTTCTCTCTTGATATGGTACAGTTTAAAACTTATTTCACCAGTCCTCAGAGTTTGTAGCTAGTCCTGCTTGAACAATACAAAAATGTTTACTATGTTTCCAATTTTTGTCAGTTTTATTCAGTTCCAATTTGTGGCAAAAACTAAAGCATTGAGAACTAATTCAGCATTATAGCCCTCAAATGCTACTAGTCAATGAGGACCACTAACATTGGTTGGTTGGTTGTTTAACGTCGCACTCAGCAATATTCCAGATAAATGACGGCGGTCTGTAAATAATCGAGTCTGGACCAGATAATCCAGTGATTGATATCATGAGCATTGATCCATACAATTGGGATACGATGACATGCATAAACCAAGTCAGCGAGCCTGACCACCCGATCCTGTTAGTCGCCTCTTACGACAAGCATAGTCGCCTCTTACGGCAAGCATGGGTTGCTGAAGACCTATTCTACCCCAGATCTTCACGGGTCTTACCATCATTGGATATTCACTTGTCCTCGGTCCAATTTAGTAGTTTCATTATAGAGGACTAGCATGAATTTCGAACATTGGTTACGTTACTGTGAATTTCAAAAGCAGGAAAGTACTTGAAAGTTCACCTGCCTGTGCAAGCAAAGCCGTTAGAGTGAGCCAATGAATCTAGACAGTAATGTTTGTGCATGTGGTGCAGAAAACCTCTTCAGAAGGCTGACATTTAATATACCATTTATTTACTTTGATATTGATGAAAATTAAAGAAAGAAAATGAAAATCAATGAAATGGTAACCTTAAATTTTATATCGTAAATGCCTTGAGAAAAGTAATGGTAAAACTACTGTTTTTATACGAAAGGCTTCAACCATGATGCCAGTCGATAACATAAAGGGTTTGGCAAATGTAGTTTGTTTTGGTAGAAAACAAGATCAGCGCCGTTGAGAAATCTGGGTGGACAGACAAGTTAGTCGACAATCTAAACCAAATTGCTTTGTAGACCATGTCCAGGTCGGCACTGACAGTTGGATAAACATGCAGGAAGGTGTGAATGTGGTTGTATGCCACTTTTAACAATATTCCCTCAGTAACAAGGTGGGGTCATCAGAACTTGGCTTCATACACTGTGGTGGTAGTCGAACCGAGGACCATGCTGTGAGAATAAAACGCTATAACCACTACACTACACATGTAGGAAGGAAAAATGCTTTGTCAAATAGTCATGCCTGGAAAATTTGACCTCAGATTTGATAAAAGTTCCACTATCCACAAACAAAATTCCTGTACTCCCAACAACAAAAACATCTGTTGTTATACCTCTATAAAACTACCACCATGATCATCTTCCCGAGGCAAGGGAGTTAACTGACTTCAGTTTCCACCCTTGCCGAACAAGACTGGAATTTCTGGGCTAGATCGTAGCGCCACCAGTGGTTATTACCCTTCTGAGTTGTGTCCCTTCTATGCCTATCCCACTGACCAATCAGATTCCACATTTTGTATCACTTGTATCAAAATAGCGGCACTCAGTCAGGATGATCTGCTCAATAATCAAGATCTATATTGTGATAAAACTGGTCTTACATCACAAAGTGCAAAGTGTATCAAAACATGAAAGATTTGGAAAAAATCTGTTGACGCGAGTTGGCAGTGCACATATTTTGCAAATCCTGCAATCGACCGAAATCTGCACAACAGTTTACAGACTGGATTTCGATTTCATTGTGCGATTTTGATTGGACGATGCATTGACTTGTTAGTCCAGCCAAAATATAACTCCATAATACCAGCCTAGTTTGGCAAGGGTGGAAACTGGACTTTTAAAGTCAGTTAAGTCCCTTGCCTCAGGAAGATGCACCATGATAT